GTATTAATTTTATACGTTCGCTTTAAGCCCTTTGCTCTCCTCCTGTATAACACCAGGAATGTCATACAAGTGCTTTTAGTTAATTTTAATATATAATCTTTAAAAAACATTCAGCGACTCCACCCAAAAATTGAAATTTCTAATAAAAAATCTTTTCTTAAAATTTTACTTCAAGAGAATTTTTATTATCCTCGTATCTTCTTCCCTTATCGCAGCTGTTTCGTGCCATAAATGTTACCGTAGTAACATGAAATTTTATGACTTATCTACAGAAAAAAATGACCAAAACGGGGGAAAAAAATTCCACCGTAACGCCCCACCAAAACACAAATTTCCTACTTAAATTATTACTTTAGTAAGCATCCTCCATTGATTATACAATAGCAATAACACAATACTCTATGTAAAATGCATTAAATTTAAAAATGGAAGATATTTAATACATTAGCAGCATAGAAATAATCACTATTTTTCAAATACAGTTGGCGTAATTCGCTATTAAAATTTCGACAGCAAAAGAAAAAAATAAATAAAATAAAATAAACCTAATTTCCTTGCCACTAAAATTTTTATGCTACTATAAAAATAACAAAAAAAAGAAATTTAATTAACAATACACTTAAAATTTGCTAGAAGTATTCAGTAATAAATTAAATTTTACCTCATTCAGCCATTTTTTTTTTTCTTCTTCTTCTTCTTCTTCTGTTGATGGCATTTTTACAGAACTATAGACCAATTACTGCTGTTGTAGGTTAATTTTCGTTTCTGTAATTAGTTCCTTAGACTTTCCTTCAGTTAATTTTCAAGATATCTTTATAAAATCATGTGAATATTTCCAGTTAGATGAATACTCTTTTCCTCCTCTTTTCTCCAATTTTTCTCCTTTCCCCCATTAAATCTCTCTAAACCTTGAATTTCTGAATATAGATTATACACAATTGAGATTTTTTTAAGAAGATTGAACTTCCTTTTTAAGAAATTTTCGATTATATTTTCCACTCTTTGTTCCTATGGAAAAAAAACAAGAAGAAATTCTTTAAAACTTAAAAAATTGAGCTATTTTAGATTCTTCCTCTTCGATAACTTCTCAATACTTATTATATTCTTCTAACAAAGGCTTCTATCCAATTTTACTCTTAAATTCCGGGAATTTTGGAGGGGTTTTTCCGTTTGGGGCTCCTCCCGTTTCAAACCAACCGCCCCCACTGGGGATGAGCCACTGGTAAACGAGTGGATAAAACTAATAAACACTCGCGGGTTAATGAGCTAGTCGAGTAGAATTTTCCGGGGTTTGTTCACCTAAATAGGAACCATTTCGCATAGAAAGTCCTCCCGGGTGGAATCCTCATGTGTTATATTGACGTATGGATCCGCATAGTTTCTATCCTTCCCGCTAACAAATCATTTTCTATTCAGTTGAGGATTTTATCCCAAAAATGGGGATTTTTGTAGTTAACCTATTTTGAAAAAAATTGGAATCATCAGATGTTTTGATCTAGTTTATGTGAAAGTTTAAAGAAACTTTTACAATTGTTATATGCTTTATGTAACTTCTGAAATTATAGAGAAGTTTCAGAGAAATTGTTAAGAATTTTATACAAATAAATTCTTTATAAAATTATGAACCATTGTAAAATAGCTTTAAGATTATCATTATTGTATTTAAAGTTTAAAGTATAGTTTATACTGGTTTATAACTATTTGTCTGATTCAATAGTTTTTTTGACTCCTCATTTGCATATTTGGCACTCCTGTAGTTGGTGGTTTGGTTATTTAACTTTATTATGCAAATGGATACTAGCTTAAACTTCGGAGACGAATATTAATCGATCTGATTTAATATATACTAATTTATATTTACTGAAATGATCTTAATATCATGATTAAAATGTAATTTGTGAGTATATAAAACAGAATTAGTTTCACAACAATCTTTCTATCTTTTAAAATGGAGTGTGTATAAACCAGCCTTTATTACTTTCATGAGTATAATAAATACAACAAACTTATAGCTTAATTAATTAATTAAGTACTTTCGGGATGACATCCCATCGCCAGAGGATCATACGTAATCCACAAAACCTTTAGAACACAAAATAATGTTGGAATAGGATATGTTAAATTGATAATACGTATATATATTATATAATTTATAATATATGATTATGTGGAATCAGATTCATTTTAAAATCTTTCTGGAATATGTTTTCGCGTGTAGAAAACGATGCATATTACTGATCACATTTAATACTGGAAAAATTTTAATTGTATAGAAGAAGCTACCAATGTCTTTAATTCCTGAAACAATGAGAGAACGAGCTTCTTAAGCTTTAAATCCTTAGAGAATCTACCTAAAAGAATTAAGTATATCTAAAGCGTCAAAACACCTTAGAGAATTGATAGAATATCTAGCCTTATTTCTGCTCAGTCGATCGTATAACGAGAGAGATTTAGTAGTAAATAAACAAAAGAAATCAATAAATGTGTATTATTGTTACTAATGTCATATAGAATTCCATCTGAAAGCGATCACAATCTCTCTCCAAATGATCTTTTCATTGTAAATCAATATATACAATCCCCATCCTATTTAATATATTTACAAATTACGACCGAATCTGTACTTAAATTGTCATCATTAATCGTTACTTCCGTCTATATCACGGGGAGCCAAACTTTTACAGGGATTCCTTCACCTTTTACGACCCATCTTTTTTGATAACACAGTTAATAATAAAATAAATAAATCTGGTGAGCCATTGTCTAGCACCCAACCCCTCTGGACGAATCATATTTTTTAATAAAACGCCCTTAATCGACCCCCGAAAATGCCTTATCGACCACTTTCGGTGACCCCTAGTCTAGATATTTTAGCAATGATTAATTAAAATCCATTCGGAATTTCGCTTAATATTTCTATATTTTCTCTCATAAAATTTTCGGGGAATATTAAAATAAATCTCATTGACTGGCAACAATGATCTGAAATTATTAGCTAAACCAATAGTTGTTGTTCTTTTCGATGACGAATTTTAAATATATAAATTTGAATTTGATTTTAAGAAATTTTTTAATATACTACTAAAAAAAGTGGCAACACTGTTTAGAAATTATACGTCAAACCAATAAAAGTTTCCACATCAGTTGACGATTTTTAAATATTTGAATTTAAAAATATTTTTTTTTTTTAGAATACCATTGGTTGATATGTAACACGTGACCTCGACGAGCCATCGTTGAATACATAAAACATTATTACGTATTTTAAAAATTCAATTTTGAATCGTAATGGAACTTCATTGGATAAACATCAGATGTGGAAAAAGTGGCAATTATTTGAGTTATAAAATGTCGTAGGATTGATCGAATTTCGAATTTTTTTTTCTTTTTTTGCTACCAAATTTTAAAAATAGAAAATAAAATTTATTTCCGTGTCTAAAGTGACATTTCTCCTGCGTTTTATCGAGGTTTTATTTATGAAAATCCTCCTTAACGCTTGTTACTAGCCATCTTGTAAGGATCAGGATGGATTGTGTATTTTAATATACAGTCGACCCCCTATAACACTGTTGATTTTTCCGTTTTATATGATTTCCATGTTGTACGAGTCATTTAGATTTTACAAAAACGTGTGTCGGGCTGTGAGCGACTCACGTATTTGTAAAATCTAAGCGACTCGTACAACATGGAATTCAGATAAAACGGAAAAATCAACAGCGTTATAGGGGGGGTCGATGTACACAATTCTTGTATATTAATTAACTACGTTCGTGATATACAGACCCCGTTTTTACGACTTAACGACGCTTTACCGAGAAGGTATTAAGTGAGCCGCCATAAATTGAAATCTAATTTCCCATAGGCCAAACGTTAAATTGAGGTTTTATCCTAAGAAATGACCAACAAAAAATTATATAACTCAGTTATGGGTGGGTTGATATGCAAGTAACCGTTACGATGCGTTACAAGGGTACCAGAGATTTTTACAAAAAAACATCACATAATGCTAGGGTCTCAACTCTTAGGATATGTTCATACAGTCTCTTCTTACGTTACGTTAATCAAAGAAGCCTTAAATAACACCCTCTTTGATTGCAGACGTAACATAAGAGTATATCTGAACGTAGCCTTAAGAAACAGCGTAATTCATTTTTGTTTCTGAAAATGTGACATACAAAACGGTGACGCATTCGCTATGTATTATTCCCGACTACAATTAAGGGAGTTGATCGAAGATGTGCGTTACGTAATTTTGGGGGTGAGTATATGCAGGAGTGCTACAGGAATTGATTGGTAGTTACAAATTATAAAAGTAGCGTTACGCAATTTATGGACCATCCCATGCAGTACTTATTACAGACTGTGAGTGAGGCACGAACCCGCGACTAACTACAGACGTTCAGTGATGTAATATACAGTAGAACCCCTCTAGTCCGCCCTCGGCTAGTCCGTCACTCTGGTTAATCCGACCGTGCTCGGACTCGAAAAATTTCTCGACTCGTCAGTGACAAAAACGCCACGGACGGTGACTCGCCACCGTCCGTGGCGTTCTTCTGTGTTCGTTACAGTATATGTTTTACATTGTGTGTATGTGTAGTTTTGTGTGTGTTTTCAACATGTCAGGAGTGAAACGTAAACACGTTACTCATTCATTAAATGAAAAATTAGCAGTGCTACAAAGACTGGACAAAAGGAAGATTGTTTATTTTACTTTTTTCTGATAATCCGACCTTTTTTGCGTTCCGACCATACCCCCAGTCCCAAAGGTGACGGATTAGAGGGGTTCTACTGTACTTTACTGGCGAGCTCACAAGAATATTTTCCAAATCCTCCACGCCAGTCGCCATATTAACGGTTGATTGGATAAGGAGATACTTAAGAGGATTGGTCCAACTTCTTGTGCTGTACACTTATAAAACAGCATCCATACTTAATGTACAATTTCCTTTTCAGGTTACGATGATGATTCAAACAATACCGTGATCTCATGATCTCACCTTGGCGAGAATTCTTCAAAAAATGTTAAATGATACCGATCTCAATCTGACATGGATCCACCCAACTAAAGATGGAAAATTAGAAGTTTTGGGTCCACAGTACCATAAAAATGTAAGGATTTTTATTTTGGCGATTATGATTGGAGTTTCCTTAATAGGAAACAGCATAGTATGCTGGCAGCTTCTGCCCACCAGGAGGAGAAGATACCCTAAAGCAAAAGTGCTCTTTCTCAATCTGGCCGTAGCCGATTTATTAGTGACACTGATTACCATGACATCCCAAATGGTTTGGGAAATGATGGGGCGTTTGTGGATAGCCGGGGATGTCTTCTGTAGGATCTTCAAGCTGATACAGACTTTTGCTCTGGTGTCGTCGACTTACATGTTGGTCAGTATCGCTCTGGATCGCCATCATGCCATAGTGAGACCTCTTTCGCCATGTCCGCGACCGATCAACTTGGCAATTGTGGCATGGTTGGCTTCGCTTATTCCGTCTCTTCCGAATCTTTATGTCTTTCGACAAGTCACCGTGGGTCCCGGAAGATGTTACTGTGCTTCACTCTTCTACACTGGAGAATACCCAATTTATCATCGTCAGATTTACATGGCTTTTGTCTTCTTAGCAGTTTTTATTGTGCCATTCTTTCTTTTACTCGTACTCTATACCTGGATATTGGTGGAAATTTGGAGACAATCTTCGGTTTTCTCTGGTAATCAGTCAAACTCGGCGCTCCCTCGGGCAAAGGTCAAGACCCTAAAAATGACTCTCGTCATCTTCCTCGCTTTCATCTGCACTAATCTGCCGTACGTGATTCAAGAGATGATTTTGGCTTTTGGAGATCCTTCGGCACTTGACACCAACGTCGTGGCACTGTTTGGCGTAATCTCTGCTAGCAACAGTGCCATAAATCCTTATATTTATCTGATGTTTCACGCAAGCGGTGGCTGTTTTGAAAGATTCCGCAAGTTCCTGAAGACCGTGGGCAACATGAAGAGTGGTAGATGGAACGATGCCATCAATAATGCTTTCCATTCTGCATCACTGAAGAGGAAAGTCTCCTTTTCTTCTAGTTCCAGACAGAGTGTAATCACTAGAGCACCCACTTTAACACAACAACAGATTAAAGGAGTACAGACAGCTCTTCTACACCTTGAAGGCCAAAATGAGAATGAGAAAACAGAAACAAGTCTGTAACAACTGCAAAGTCATTTTGTTTTCTCGGAGTAAGGGTCATACAGAATCAAATTTTAAGTCTGATGTATTTTACTATTATTTAAAAACATTTAATGTCCCAAGTGTACTTAAAATAAAGCTGTGTACAACATGGAATTCAGATAAAACGGAAAAATCAACAGTCTTATAGGGGGNAAATAATTAAAAAAAAAAGTATACACATATATATATACAAGGTATATGTAAGCATTAATATTTGTGTATTTTAAACTCTTGTAATTTTAAAAAATATATATATTTAATATCATATTTATCCTTCATCTGTATATTTTAAAAATAAAAATTTATGTTTAAAAGCAAAAATCAGAGTAATTCAGTTACCTCAGAATTTCAATTTGAGACAATTTAGCTTCTTAAAATTTAATTTACAAAGTTCAATCTCAACAAATTTGTGCATTGAAAGTTTTTGAAAGCAAAATAACTTCCCTGCCAAATGTTAAAAGGTCAAATGAATCCGAGATGACGACCCATTTTTCAACATAAATTGATTAAATTGTTATTCAGGCAGCGCGCCCACACAATTTATGAACTTTAAGAAAATAAAAAATATATAAGTTAATTTACTTGTATAACAGTTATCATTGAGATAAAATAACTTATTTAAATAACTTCATTAAATATTTCTCTGTCAAAAATAAAGAAAAGCCTCACATTATTCAAATTACTTCAAAATTTTTAAAATCACTAACCTCTGATGTAACAAATAACAGATACTTAAGCTTTGTTAATCAAAAAACAGCTTATAATAAAATCTTCTATCATTAAATTAATTTATAAATTAAACACCGAGTGATAAAGAATTCAACCAAACAAGAAAAAAAACCAAAAACTTGTCAGCATTCATTGAAAATGTGATAAAATTCTGTCAAAAGTTTCATCAATGAATGGTGGCATTAATCCCTTTTATTAAAAAGGGATTAATGCCACCATTCATGGACTAGCTGCTGAATTCTGAAGTGTCATATCACTCCCAAAATATACTTCAAAATCTTTAGACGATCCAATATCAAAGAACTACACTAATTAGTGATTATATTAAAGTTTACAATTATAAATATTCTTTCTATAAACATATACATTGATTTTAAATGTAGTAAATTAGTACACAACACACACAGTGTAAGTTGTTTAGCCCACATTGTAAATGTAATCCATTATCATGTTACGGTTAACAACAGTGGCACCCACATCAGAACGCTAAAATAATTAAAACTTAATTATTGTTGTATTAGTTAGTGTTCCTCAAATTTCTTCTTTTGCATATTTTCTCTCAAAGTAAGTTCCGCAAAGCACTGTAATCTGCGAGCATACTGTGGGTAATCCGCAGACAGACCTAATCATTTCTATAAATTGCAATTACGTACTGCTTATCCAGATGAAACATTATTTTTATGTACTACTTACAAACTATTTTGGCATGCTATTTTTACCGGATGAAGGCACGAGTGGCGTGCAGTGCATCCATGATGTGGTTTAAGCAATTTGTGTACTGTGTAAGTATTGTAAATCACTTAAATACTTTTAAATTTGTGAAAATCCTTAACTTCTTGTATTGGCATAAAATAGTATGGTTGAACGTAATTCATAAATTCTGAAAAATTCCAAGATGAAAGCACTACTCTACGTATACTTAAATTACCTCTGGCAAATAAAAATTCATTAGGATTTACAACAAAAGTGATAGAAACAAAATCTCTAAATAAATACTGTAATATAAATATTTATATTTTTTGTTTTTAACTGAAATTTCGACATTAATGCAAAATTTTTTCTAACTTCATCCAATATACAAAGCTTCATTCTAATAAACTGAATACATTTCAAAACTTGGGACTATAAATTTACATTTTACTACTTTATTAACTTGTATATAAGGAAATTGTCAATTTACTAACTTGTATCTTGTTGGTACTTTAATAAGCTATACAAAATAACTTTTGGTGGGAATTGGCCAAAAACTTTGTGGCTTATCTTCATATTAATCATATCACATTTTAAAAACAATCAATGATAAAGAGTATGCATGTTCTATCTGATACTGATAAACAATCATTTGATATAAACCATATTGAACTTTACTTAAAAAGATAAAACCATATTAAATATTTGATCTAACTCCTGTATTTTATATCACAGTAACTGACCAAAACAATTGTAAAAGTCATTTTAAATACTGATTCCGTTTCCTTTGGTCAGTAAATTATTAATACTTCTAATTTTAACACAAAATTACAAGAACTTTTATATCCATTTACTTTCCCAATACAGGAAGTCTTTATTTGGGACCATAATATATTTTCAGAATAAATGTTCATAATTTTATCTCAATCTGATGCAAGTAAAAGTGCATAAATAACTTTCATTAAAAAAAAATAATAATAAAAACAAAACATACTGTAACATGTACATTTCATATAATCTGATTAATTTTAATGTTGATGAGAATATTTTTAAAAGGAATCTTCAGAATTTAATATCCTCTCCCTCTGTAACTTCTTAAAACGTTCAATCACCTCTGTTATCTGAAACTCTCCATGGACCTTATTATCTCTGGTACGTACATTAACGGTGCCAGATGTCTTTTCTTGTTCCCCTATGACTAAAATTAGAATTTTAAAATATACCTTAAGTATTTTAGGATGATTATTTTGGGAATAAACTCTGTAAAAATTTCAGTAATTTGTATAAAATTTACCAAAGATAAAGTTATATTGAGCCAGCTGGGCATTGCGAATCTTTTTATTCAGCGTCAGTCCTGGATCGAGCTCTATATCACATTGGAAACCGGCTTTAAATATTTCATCTCTAACCTACGAGAAAAAATTACTATGATTTATTCAATTGTATCTTAATAAGCTATGTGATAACCTTAAACTCTTTAAAATAAGCTGTTGACATATAGATATGTTTAGTTTTAATCTTAATTAATTAATAAACCTACCTGCTGAGCATAATCATCAAACAACGATGAAACAGAAAGAACAATAGATTGGCTTGGAGATATCCAGAATGGCCTAAAAATAAACAATTTAATAAAAATAAAAAAACTCAAAACATAAGTATGCATAGGTAATGCTCAATCTATTAATATGCGCATTTGGTTTATCTATGGTTATAATAATGTAATTCACATTGATACAGTACACCACTATTTTTTCTTCATTTCTTTCATTCAATTTTTACATGAATAAAAACAAATATATTAAATTTCTTATATTGTAGTTTGATATTTATTATAAGTTATTTTATATTGTTATCAAAAGGTAAGTTTATTTTAATACAAATACATTATTTTAAAGCCCTCATATTGTTATCTACTGTAATAATGTAAATAACAAATATAATTTTCAATCTCCATAACATTTTAATTAATTCAACAATCTCAGAGATACAACCAAAGGAAACAAAACTTTTTAAGCTGGCTCAAATGCATTCAGTATCTACTGAGCAAACATTCGGCCAATATCAAGTAATGTGGATGATTTATTTGTGGCTTTGCATAGACATATCAGACATGAATTCTCAAACGGTAATTCCCATAATAAACTGATGCTCGGCAAATTATCATAGTGCTCACCATATGACACTTCAGCAAATGGCAATTATTCGACAATTGGTGAATACCAAATGTGTAGAAATGCCTTTATGTAACTACAAAGATTTTATACAAGCAGTTTGTTTTCTTATATTTGTACAAGTATGTGTTTTATCCTAGAAATATATCTATGACATAAAAATAGTAATAGTATATTTCCATTAAAATACTTTAAAGTTTACCATTTTCCACCAAAATTCTCAGTCAAAATGGCAATCATTCTCTCTACTGAACCAAGAATGGCTCGATGAATAATCACAGGTTTCTTCTTTTCTCCCGTCTCACTAAAATTATTTCTCTCTCATTAAAATGTAAATATTTTTAATTGATATAAATAAAATTTAAAATTTATACCTAACATATGATAAATTAAATCTTATTGGAAGTTGAAAATCTAATTGGATTGTTGCACACTGGTGTTGACGACGTAAAGCATCCATTATCGTGATATCGATCTAAAATATATTTATTTATTCAGAACTACCTATAAATATTTATATTTTTTGTTTTTAACTGAAATTTCGACATTAATGCAAAATTTTTTCTAACTTCATCCAATATACAAAGCTTCATTCTAATAAACTGAATACATTTCAAAACTTGGGACTATAAATTTACATTTTACTACTTTATTAACTTGTATATAAGGAAATTGTCAATTTACTAACTTGTATCTTGTTGGTACTTTAATAAGCTATACAAAATAACTTTTGGTGGGAATTGGCCAAAAACTTTGTGGCTTATCTTCATATTAATCATATCACATTTTAAAAACAATCAATGATAAAGAGTATGCATGTTCTATCTGATACTGATAAACAATCATTTGATATAAACCATATTGAACTTTACTTAAAAAGATAAAACCATATTAAATATTTGATCTAACTCCTGTATTTTATATCACAGTAACTGACCAAAACAATTGTAAAAGTCATTTTAAATACTGATTCCGTTTCCTTTGGTCAGTAAATTATTAATACTTCTAATTTTAACACAAAATTACAAGAACTTTTATATCCATTTACTTTCCCAATACAGGAAGTCTTTATTTGGGACCATAATATATTTTCAGAATAAATGTTCATAATTTTATCTCAATCTGATGCAAGTAAAAGTGCATAAATAACTTTCATTAAAAAAAAATAATAATAAAAACAAAACATACTGTAACATGTACATTTCATATAATCTGATTAATTTTAATGTTGATGAGAATATTTTTAAAAGGAATCTTCAGAATTTAATATCCTCTCCCTCTGTAACTTCTTAAAACGTTCAATTACCTCTGTTATCTGAAACTCTCCATGGACCTTATTATCTCTGGTACGTACATTAACGGTGCCAGATGTCTTTTCTTGTTCCCCTATGACTAAAATTAGAATTTTAAAATATACCTTAAGTATTTTAGGATGATTATTTTGGGAATAAACTCTGTAAAAATTTCAGTAATTTGTATAAAATTTACCAAAGATAAAGTTATATTGAGCCAGCTGGGCATTGCGAATCTTTTTATTCAGCGTCAGTCCTGGATCGAGCTCTATATCACATTGGAAACCGGCTTTAAATATTTCATCTCTAACCTACGAGAAAAAATTACTATGATTTATTCAATTGTATCTTAATAAGCTATGTGATAACCTTAAACTCTTTAAAATAAGCTGTTGACATATAGATATGTTTAGTTTTAATCTTAATTAATTAATAAACCTACCTGCTGAGCATAATCATCAAACAACGATGAAACAGAAAGAACAATAGATTGGCTTGGAGATATCCAGAATGGCCTAAAAATAAACAATTTAATAAAAATAAAAAAACTCAAAACATAAGTATGCATAGGTAATGCTCAATCTATTAATATGCGCATTTGGTTTATCTATGGTTATAATAATGTAATTCACATTGATACAGTACACCACTATTTTTTCTTCATTTCTTTCATTCAATTTTTACATGAATAAAAACAAATATATTATTATTAATATTCCATTTTTTTTAATATCTATAAACAGATTTCTGTAATTATTAAAATTGTCTTGTTTGTTTAACAGATCATTCTGGCCAGGGGATTAACAATAATGACCTCGAAATGCATTAACGTTTTATAACAGATATGATATTTGAATTGTAAATAAAACCATCCAATTTAACTGTAGCCTTCACCCATTTGAATATCGGAAATGGAACATTTAAAACAAATTTAAAGTATTTAATATTATTATCTCTGATCCAAGCAATTAATAAATGAATAATTTTGTCGATTCTTCACACTTACATTTATCAAAGGAAAGATATCCATTTTTATCTAAACTTTGCAACAAACAAAACAATGTGACAACTTCCAATAGAATTAACCATTGTCTAAACCAGGGTTAATTAGAAATTTAGGTATATTCAGCGGGCCACAAAGGTACTTTATATAAATACTAGCAGCTTGGCCCGGCGTTGCTCGGGCAATAGTAACGATAACTAAGATAAAGATTATTACGTTACAGTCAACACTGGTGTTGACGACGTAAAGCATCCATTATCGTGATATCGATCTAAAATATATTTATTTATTAAGAACTACCTTCAACCATTATTTTCTATCAATATAAACACACTTCTTTTATTAGTTCTTACTTTTGGTCCATAAAATGCTCCATCACCAGGATTTAAAGTCCATTCTTTGCCAAAAGCATTTAAACTTTCTTCAAGTTGCTGGTAATTTAAATTTTAGAAAATTTAAATATTTCATTTTGAACATTAAATTAGCATTTTATAAGTAACTTTTATTAAATAACACACAAGAAAAATATTCACCTTTTCTGCCATATTCCAAACTTCGATCTCACCTAAAAAGTCATCTGGACGAGTCGAAAGCTTCAATTCAAAAGTAAATCCAAATACACTATATACACTTTCAAGAAAGTCAAGACTTCCCTTAATTTCACTCGAAATCTTTATAAACATACAAATATAATTTATGTAGTTTACTGAATTATGTAAAAAGTAAGTTTTAATTATTACCTGTTCCATTGCGCAGAAAATATGAGCATCATCCTGTTGAAATCTTCTCACTCTAGTCAAACCTGTAAGTGCTCCAGACAGTTCATTTCTATGAAGAACTCCAAAATCTGCCATTCTAAGAGGCAATTCTCTCCAAGAACGTGGTCTATGATCAAACATCAAACTACATAAAAAAAAACATCTTGTTTGTAAAATTTTAAATTAAAAGTATAGTGTAATTTGTAAAGACAAGGAACAGTTTAAAATAACTAATTTATAAATTATAAGATTTTAAGACTAGCACTTTTAATTTTGTGTTTTAAAAGTACACTATTTATTCATTAAATAAATTACCGAGCATTTTGTAAATAAGTTAAGAAAAAATACCCACTTAACATTTCATACATTCTTATTTAATAATGCTTATCAAATTACCAAAGCTATATATAAAAGAATTCCTTTTATGTCAATATCTTAATCAAATTCTTTAAACAGAAAGCATTCAGAATAATAAACAGCTAATTAAATCTTCTGTACAATAGATAGAAACCTTAACTAAACTCATCAACTAATGCAAATGAGTGAATAGAATCAAACTGAAATTACACCTTTAATGTCCAGCATGTATCTTTCAAACAAACAAACATTTTTGTCTAACTTAATTAGCTGTCATTAGGCTCAAAGTACAAGAAGAAACTCATCTAAATATACTCTCTTTTTAAATTTGAAATTTGATCATGGCTAATTATGTTAACTGAAAATATCCATTTGTTTGAAAAATAATGGGCGATTATAGCTAAAGTACCCGGCGTTTCTCAACCTGTGGTCTGCGACGGTGGGACAGGTGGTCCACAAGCAGAGTTAAATAGATTAAAATTTTGTTTAATGATAATTCCTTTTACTAGTTTACTTCCAAATTAATTAATTATGTTCCTATATGTATTCAAAACATGTTATAAATGGCACAGTATATCTCAAATGTTGGTAATACTCATAAATTTTTAAAAATTAGGCCTTTGTAACTTAATGATATGTAGAATTTTTACAGACATTTTACTGGGCCTCGAGCTTAAGAAGGTTGAGAAATGCTAAAGTATCCTATTCAATTCGTCTAGAGAGAGATTTAATGCTCTAAATGAAACCAAATCTAAGGGTAGCACCTCAGAGTATGTGGAAGACACTGTAAAAAAGGTTAATACTAACAGTCACCAGTATGGCACTTTAGAAATTGTAAGTGATGCATATTACATTTGTACAAGGCATTCATTATACAGAGATATTAGCAATGCAGAGAATACTGCTCAATGTGGTCCTCATTCTGGAGGTGAAAAACTCCTATAAGGTCATCAGCTATCTTCCGAAAGCTTTTGGCAACATAAAATCTTAACGCCGTCAACAACTGTCATTCAGCAGTTAATGACAATCCTCTTCCATTTCAATGTTTAATTTCATTGCCAATATGATTTAAATACGAACAAATTCAGATTTAGAATATTTATACCGAATTTGAAATTTCGAAAAATCCCTTCTTAGTGTGCGTTTTCGTGACGTACCCTATCTGTGTACCAAATTTCAACTTTCAACTCCTAACCGTTTGGGCTCTGCACTTATTATTATTATCATTATTATTATCAACCCGTCTCGATTATATATATAGATTTGTTATTATTCTGTATCAAAAATACTGTATTATTGACAGTAAAAAAAAAATTATATTCACACAAAATAAAAATAAATTCAATGCAATTTTTGACATTGCCTTCCTTTTATAATATTGTCAATACCTGCTTTTATGATACTAGTCTCAATTCTAAGAATGTTAGCTAAAGAATCGCTCAACCTATTTCTTTCAGCAGTTTTAATGTTTTTAATGCACAAAAAGAATTGTTCGCAACAGTATGTATTACCCCACATGCATAACAGTTCTCTAGATGTAATTGGTTTTAGAAAACTGTTTTGTCATCATGACATCAAAGTGTATCCAGTGAAACGAGAATAAGTTTTACAACATACTTACCAAAATAAATGAAAATATACCTAAAAAAATTTAGGCTGCATAAAAATATTAAGTGGGCCACGGGTTGGACATCCCTTGTCTAAACCTGCTGTCGAGTAAGTCTAGAAAGTAGGTCAAATTACTGGTTTCTAAACACTGTCTAAACTGTGGAAAGCAAGAAACGTCATCTCTGCAAAGAAATGTTTTTGAATCATGGTCTAGACGATCTCATAACCATCATCGACATCTAAATGTTGTCTCTGCATCTGACCCAATGTGTTTAGCAGTTGACTTTAATTGAACTGATACTCCATGACACTCGTCACGTGCAGTGTCCGACTGTCTTCAAAGGCTATTAAATTTGTAACATATCCTCAGTAAACTACACTTTTTAAGTATTCCCATGCCAAAATTCACATGGATTAAAATCAAAACAAGATGGCCAGATAACAAGAAACACACAACTAACACACTGTTATCATCAGTGAAATATTGCAAAAACAGCTGTGGACATGCGCAAGCACTATCTTGCATGGAAGTGGTTGACTCCAGATATTATTGCTGTTGAAGATGGAGTATGACAAAAGTGTTGCACTTTGCTCAGTATCTCTGGGAGGAGACAGAAGCCCATTGAAACTAGTTTCTTTGAAGAAGAAAAATTCAAGGATAAATGTGGCTGTGAATCTTCACCAAACTAACTTCAGTCAAATACACTGGAATTTGCTGGAAAAAACAAGATTTTCCATAGCCCAAATGCAATAGTTACAGGTGTTCATCATTCCATTGACATGAGAATGCTTATTGCTCAACCAGATCTTCCATGTCAACAATACATCCACTTTCGTGCCAGCAACAGCAGCCAAAGTAAACATCAGTTGATTTTTCCTGTTGGAAGAAGCAACTGATGCTTATAGCTGATCTTATACAGCTAACAATGCACCAACTTTCTCAGTACCTTCCATACAATGTGTAATACTCAACTATAACACTGTTAAGTGCACTACTGGAGCCTGCAATATTATTCATGACAACAGCTGTGGTAACATCTTCCAATTACTTGTAAAATGATAGCTGTGCTCTCAACTGGAATGGATTTCTAGATGAGGGCATAAGTGATCACTTTCTTGACAACTTCTGGAGTCTAATGATCCTCAAGTGTAAATTCTTACAGGCAAAATTTCCAAAGTGCAAGTACTATTTTCATAAAACGACTTCAAGAAATGTATATCCCAGCAAGGTCATGGCCATTGTAGTTGATAAGAATGACATTCAACAATTGCAACCACTTTATAGAAGTGATCCCAACTGTTGAATGGTCCAACTTTTATATCCAAAAGTAAACTGTAAAACACGTGCTTATGCTAAGAAAACTGATTTTTCATTGCTTGCAATGTCAACAAAGCCATACCGGAGAGATCAAATTAAGTATATGAATATATAACAATACAAGAAAACTTTTTTCATGGAAATGTCTTGTGTTTGATACAACCTCAATGAAGTTTAATTACTTAAAAATTGGAAAATTCTCAATTTTAAATTTTGCAAAGCCTTATAACTTGAAGCATTTCAATGTAAATAAAAATTATATTACTTCTATTTCTAGCAGTATTTTTTTAAATCATCGTTTTGGAGTGGTTGAGACCAAATTAAGTATAATAAATATATAACAATACAAATTTAAAGTTATTTTCAATGTTTTTGCTCCTTCTTTTGACTATTAAAATAAAATAAATAAATAAAAAATTACTACTCACCACACCTATATAACAATCAACATACACTGAACCAATTTACGGTTTGGTACGACTGACTAACCACACCATAAATTGCCACGTGCATAAATTTTAAAGAGGAGATGCTTTTGTCGATGGCCTGGCAAGAGTTGATACACAGCACGCTTTAGCCACTCGTTATATCTGAGCAGGCTGACTCATCACGCATGCGCGACTTATAATTTTAAAAGAACTGTTTGAACTCAAGAACGAAGTTATTTTAAAGGGATTCGTTAATCGAATTTACAAGCTAAAACTGTAGGAACCTGATGAAGAGCCCAGAAGGGGTTCGAAAACGTTTGTTTTTGTACTGGTTAGTCAATCGTACCACACCGTAAATTGGTTCAGTGTATGTGATGACTATTAAAATTCATTTGTTAAATGTCACTAGAAATATATCATTAAAATTTTGTTTTTAAAAGCTACTTAATGAGTTTTAATCACTAATATTTTTATTAAGATGTGATATGAAAAGTTTACTTTTAGCTTACCAGTGACCAGGACAGTTCATTGGCTTCAATGCAAATGTCTCTTTCTCTACGTCAAATGAAAACATGTTTTTCCTTTCAAAGAAAAAAAAATTAATAAAAATACATTAGAAATCTACAATATATTTTCTATATACAGGTAAAACCTCTAAATCTGAAATTTGAAGGGACTAAAAAATGACCAGTTCAACTTACAGAGGTACATAAAAAAAGAAAGAAAAACTTTCATTCAGACACAAAGTACAAAACAACACATTAAACTTTGCAATATATTTAAGTCCACAATATTTATTTGAATCATTATTTGAACAACATACAAGGCTATAATAGTGATTTAAATAAATATAAAAAATTTAGACAAATCACAAAAAAACCTCTCTACGCTACATTGAATTTATTCAAAAATCAAATTTTACATAATACAGTACATGAATTATCTTTCAAACAATTTAAATGGTTAACAAAATAGATGTGTTATTAATGTAAAAGACTTTGCAAGTTCATAAAGTACTGAAAACAAACTTCAAGCTGGCACAAATGAAGAATTCCACTTTAAATAGAGATATGAAATATGAGAAAATCAGTATTCTCAATGGAAATTAAAAAACAAAACACTAAAACGAGCAATTATTTATTGTGACATCGTCGCAGTGCCGGGCTGCAATTCTTAATCATATTTTTAATTTATTTAACTTAAAATATATGCTCTCTTCCTCAAATTAGTAGTGGCTTACCCCCATACATCATACTTTTCTTTTAACAATAGATTTTGTGCCAGTCATCTATAACACCTTTTGGGGTTAAATTTTTTAATTGAAATATGACTTCCAGTTTGCATCTGAAATTTTTATATAGTTAATCAGGAACTCCTGCCCCTAAGCTTTACTTATCTGTCTTGAGTTTCATCTATCTAACTCTGTTCTTGAGATTAAGGAAAGACGGTCAGATGACAGTGGAAATTTATAGATCTACAATATTTTCAAATTGCAGCCCAATAAACTTTAGCACCATGGTGTTCCTTCTCTGCTCGCTGTGACAAAAGAATTACTAACATTTCCACCAGACAGAGAACTAAATTTAGCAAATATTCCACTAAATTGGCAACTTTTAATATCATTGACTTACTTATCCAGTTATATTAAACCTACTTTACCAAAAAATGTGCCTAAAGGATTTGCAGAACTTAAACATAGGTTAGTTGGATGCTGCTGCAATTGATTGGTTTGATTAAAGAAGAGCAACATTAATATAATTGAAATTTTGTTCAACTTAAGCAGTAAAAAAGTACTCCATAATTATCCCGATATTATATAGGATGTTCACTAGGACCAACAATCCAGTTCAACTTAAGGAGAGATTCTAGATTAGAGGTTTTACTGTATAAAACCTTAATTTTAATATAAAACAGAAGTGTTAATAAAACCTAAAATATTTTTCACAGATAATTTTTTTGTTTACCTGGAGGAATCTTGCAAACTGTAGCAGGATGCCAACCATATCTTTGATTGCAATTAGGACTCTGTACAAAAATGCTACTATCACTTAAGCATTCAGCAAATACTTCACCACCTATGTAATATAAACGAACTCCTCTACCTAAAAATTAAATAATAAAAATATAACAACAAATATTCACAGAATTTCACAATTAAAAATATTATACTTAAAATTTAAAAAAAAAAAAAAATCAATATTTTCTCTAAAACAATTTCACTATTATATAATTATAATGTACGATATTCAGTACTATATCACTGTGATTGTAAATTGCAGTATATAGAAATGCCTATATCATTTACTTCAAAAACTTATTTATTCAAATGGAAAACAAATTAGCTTTTAATCACTAATGTATTAATCATTATATAATTTATTATAACAACTAATTCTTCAGTTACATTCACAAATTGAAATTCTAAACAATAGAAGTTAGTAGAATACAGTATAAACTATTATTAATATCCAAGCATTTCTGATATCAAACCAATACCTTTTATATTTTTCCAGCTTGAATTTATTTAAGATAAACAAACTTATGCTTTGCATTTTAAAAATATACTTACTTATTCTTATGGATTGAATATTTTAAATTTAAACAGTGATGTCATAGAATGAATTTAACATTTGGCTGTGGAATTTCAAGACACTGTACTTTTGAATGCTAATGTTAAACCTGAAGCAGGTTTATGAATAAACCAAAAATGCTTGTGTTTATCTTAAATAAATCCAAGATGGAAAAATATGAAAGGCATTGTTTTAATGTTAGTTGTTCCAGCATTATTATCTTGAATTATATTTCTTATATATAATCAATCTTTTTTTCCTTTTTTTTTTTTTAAACCAAAAACAGGTTAAAATCTTTAGTTTCTGCAAAATATTTCCACCAGTTTTGATATTTCATCTTCTCTCATACTCAAAAACCAATTTATTCTGTGATAAAATTGAGGTCTGGATTGGTCAATTTTTCTGGTTTCTATTTATTTGGATACTGATAACTTCAGATCAGAGAGTTGTCTTGTAAATGAAGGATATGTACCATTCCCAGTGTTGCCATAAATTTAAACAACACATTATTATCCAAAAGATTTAGACAGATCTTCATATCCATAGTTTTGTCTAAAACAAATCATTATTCAAGGTCAAATTATAATACAACACAGTTTATGACATTAATAAATCATTTATTTAGAATTTTTTGAAGCTTTACATTTAAAATCTGATCTCCATGTTAAAAATAAACAGATACAAATCAAACTCTGTAAGTACAATTTTCATCTCCTCATCACCAACAAAGTGCTTTTCACTTTTCATTCAAGAAGTGTTGCATGGAGTGGAAGAGATGTAGTCAAATTCAAATGGTGCAATATCTGCAAATTGATAATTGTAAAATGCACATGTGAGAATTTGGTCACAAGAAAGCATCAGCAAACTTGAAATATTTAAAAAGTTGATATTGTCACATGGAATATCTTTTCACTTATAATTGTGCACCTCAACACCACTTACATACCTCACAAGAAACTTCTGAATGTCATATGTCAGAGAACAATTTTAAATAGTCTATGTAGTTCTAGAAAATTCCAAAAACTTTTGCATCAATCCAATAAAAACTGATTTCAAATTTTAAAAATAGAAATTAAATAAATTAAAAGTTCCTAAAATTCAAAGAAGATAATTTTGGAAAATATAAAATAGAAACAAAAACTTACTGAAACAAATACAGTAGAGCATCGATTATCCGACTAAATTGGGGACTGGGGTTGGTCGGATAACCAAAAAGTATCAAAAAATCCATTATTAGTGTAGTATATTATTATATCCCATGTAATTAGTATATTGTTATTAACCTACTTCACATTGAATTTTCCTCCATGTTAAGCCTATCAAATTTTTTTTAAAAATAATAATCGTTGCTATTGTATCATTAAAAATTAGAAAATTAAGCCTCTTTTAATGGTCGATCCAGTGTTGCCAGCTAAAACACGTAAAAATAATATTAAAGTAGCCAAGACATAGCCAAATATTGTAGCGTCACATCACTAGCGGACATCTGAATTTGCCGACTAGAACGCAGTCAGTTAACCGAGGTGACGGTTAATCGGGGGTAGGATAATCGATGCTCTACTGTATATATATTATAATAANTATTTTTTTATTTTGTACAAACAAAATTAATATATTGAAAAATATAAAAACAATAAAAAATTATACTTCAGAAGTTAATTTAGTATCAGAAATGTAAAATATTTGAGTAGCCCGAGACATAACCAAAGATTGCAGCACCACAGCAATGGCAAAAATTTAAATTTGCCAACTGGAATTCTTTCAGATAATCGACACTCTACTGTAAAGTGCAAAAATTTAACCAATTGTATTAAAACCAGACGATCGGCCAAATTATCAGGCTATAATAGTTATGTTTATATAGTAATTTGTCTAGAGGCTGTAAACTCATGATAATTTATTATAATTAAGAATTGGAAGAAAAGAATTGGACAGAACAAGACTTAACTCCTGCTTACTGTGAAGACACATTGTCAGTTATACAACCCTGACCTCTGTTCAATCTCCACTTCCAAAACCATAATTTAGATATAAACATACAGGTCACTCAGTGCTAACTGGGGACAATTTGCACCTCTGGTTCCCCTCCATACACTCAGCCAACTATCACTTTATAACTTTTACCTCAGCATGGTGTGTGCGTGAGTGTATATATGTACTGGTACACACACACACACACACACTCCACTAACTTGATTACTTTAAAACCAGACAATCTGACAGATTATCAGGCTATAATACCAGTAAAACTAGGTTAATAATTAGATATGAAATAAGGCCACATACCTGTAGACAAATTACTTCATATCTGACTATTAACCTAGCCTTATTACAACCCAATAATTTGGCAATCATTTGGTTTTAATTAAAATAATCAGATTAGTGGAAATGTTTACATATAATCATGTCTTTGTTAAATAAATGATTGCTAATCTATTGTTCCAACTTTTTGTTTGGCATGCAAGAATATGAATTGAATCTGTTCTAAATCATTTTTTCTACATTCTAAAATTCTGTTCCTGATTAAGACATTTTGTAAATGTCAAAAATGTTTAAAGTATTTTATTAAATGTGTTTTTCCATAAATTAACACCAACAAACTGACCAATTGTTTTCAAATTGGATGTATGCCATCATTGTTTTGCAATAATAATCATTATAGGTTCACCAAATTTTTTTTTTACTTAGAGATAAATTCCTAGCTTCTGTTTTTTTTTTTTTTTCATTTAATACATTAAATATAGAAATATTTTTAAATTCCACAAAGCCAATTTCCTTTCTGCTTTAAGTCAAGATCCATTTACAACAGGAAAATGCCTTAATTGAAAAAAATAATACAAAATAAAGAAAACAAATTTTAAAAATTCAAATTTATATTTTAATGTCTTTTTGAAGTTCAGAATTTTACACTTCAATAACTAAATTAATAAAACAATACATTATCAGAAAGTGTAATAAAGTTTGATTAATTACTTATAATTTAAAAAAAAAAAGAACAAACAAAGCATCAGATTATATTTGGGTATTAACTTCCACAAATATTTTTTTCGGTATGGTGCATGAATCATCATTTGCTTTATTTTCTCCATTACCAAGATCATAAATTATCCTGGTAGGTCATGTACCATGTGAATTTATACATATTTAATATTTTTTTTATCATTAAAATATATGAATAAATACAAACTATATGGATAAAATTAAAATTTAAGAAATGGAATACTGTAATATCCATAATAGTATCTGAAGAAATGAGAGTGCAAAAAAAAAAAAAAAAAATGACCTCCTCTTTTCAATTTCTGCAATAAAAAAACTGAAAAATTACTGAGAGAAAAAAGTATATAATATGTTATAGTACACAATAATCATAATTAAAGTAAACCAATTCAATGCTGTCTAGGAAGATATTCAGCAGTCCAAATTCAACCAAATTTAATACAGTAGACTCTCGAAAACTCGGCCTAATGTGGACCGAAGGGTGGCCGAGTTTGTGAAAATGCCGGGTTATTGGGAATGGGGTTAAAAAAATAAGTATGAGTGTTTCCTCAGAAAATACTGTACTGTACTTGTATGTATTGTTTACTTGAGAATACAACAGAGAAAAAACTGCCCAAATACCCTTAAACAAAGGAAAAGT